AGGGAATCATAGCTATCTATCAGTTGAATCTGTCATTCAAAATAACAAGTATTTACTTAATTATGTGGGAAATACAACAGGGTGTAAAGATGGTGGCTGCCTTCAAAGAGTTTATATAGGAACGTGGTCAATGTGACCACAAGGAGGCAGCATGGTGCGAGAAGCAACAGTAATTGGAGTAAGAAGACCTGGGTGTGAATCCTGTCTCTATTACCCCTGTGACTTTGTACAAAGATTCTCCCTCTGGACCTCCTTTTAAAAATGAGGAGTGGGGCAGCTAAGTGCCACAGTGAATAGAGCACCAGCCCTGGATTCAGGAGGACCTGAGTTCAAATCCGGCCTCAGACACATAACACTTACTAGCTGTGTGACCAGCAAGTCACTTAACCCCATTGCCTAGCTTAAAAAAGAAATTTTTTTTTAAATGAAGGGGTTGTTATTATTAGCTGATCTAAAGTCTTTTCCAACCCTAGATCTATTATTCTACTCTTCAGCAGATGTAATCATATCATTGACTCCTAATACATCCATGAACTGATACATTTTTTTCTTACCTAGAGGTTTTAGAGCAGGAATGTTTAACCAGGGATCTGTGGATAGATTTTAAGGAAGCCAGGAACTTGGATTAGAAAAAATAAAATCTTTATTTCAATGCATATAATTGGTTTCCTTTGTAATTCTACAAATTTTATCTTATGCATTTAAAAACATTATTCTGAGAAAGGGTTCATAGGTTTCACCCAACTGCCCAAGGAGTCCTGGATACAAAACAAGGTTAGGCTCAGGGCCCATTACAGGTGTATTTTGAGGCTCCATCCTGTGCTTTTTTCTAGCTGCCGTGGACTATGTCTATGAAGATGGCTCCAGATCCTTCCTGAGCTCCTGTCCACTCAGCATCTCCCCCTAGATATCCCATAGGCATCTTAAAGTCAACATGATCCAAACAGAGCTCATCTTTCCCTCTAATCCCAACCTTCCCCAACTTTTCTATTTCTATCAAGAGTACCACTATTCTTTTTCAAAATTTTTCATTTTTATTAATTTAATCATTAAACAAAAAAATACAGAAAATCATTAATAAAAAGTTGCACATAAAACTGTAAAAGTCTGTTATGTGCAGTTTTTTAAAGTGCACATTAAATTTAAGTAGCAAAATTTTTAATTGGTTCTGGATACTCTTAACTTTTTTTTCCCTGTAAACTCAAAAAATGTTTCGTTGCTGCTTTTTTAAAAACATATTTGCTACCTTCACTCCCCCCGCCCCAATTGCAATTTATTAAGAGCCTAATTGGTGCCAGGCAGTATGCTAAGTGCTTCATGAGTAAGTATAGTCGATGAAAACAAATCAACACCTTGGCCACATCTGAAGACTAGACACACCTCTACCTGCCCACAGGTACAGTTCTCCTAGTTAACTAGGTTTGAAACCTAGAAGTCATCTCCAGATCTTAATTCTCACTCACTCTCCACATCTCACTGGCTATCTCACATTCACTGTCACTGTCCACTATTCTTCATCACTATCTTCATCTTTCTTATATGCAACAACCCTGGTCAGTGCTCTTATTACCTCTCATGTGGACTATTTCTTTCTTTTTTTTTTAGGCAATTGGGGTTAAGTGACTTGCCCAGGGTCACACAGCTAGTAAGTGTCGAGTGTTTGGTCTGAGGCTGCATTTGAACTCAGGTCCTCCTGACTTCAGGGTCAGTGCTCCATCCACTGTGCCACCTAGCTGCCCCACATGTGGACTATTTCAACAGCTTCCCAATTAGATTCCCCGCCTTCAGTTTCTTTCCTCTCAATCCATTCTCCACACAGAGCAAGTCGTGATTACCAAAGCACAGGCCTAACCATGTCACTCTTCCGCTCGAGAAACTTCGGTGGCTAGCCAGTGCCTTTAGGATAAATGACAAACTCCTTGGTTTGGCATTTAAAGCCCTTCACAATCTGGCTCCACACATCACTCCCCCTCTCTCACCTACTATGCATATGCTCCCCCAAAATGACTTACTTGTTGTTCCTCATTCGTAATCCACCTCCTGCTTCTGTCCAAAACAGAATTACTGTGAATTCAACATGCTCAAAAGAGAATTTATCTTTCCCCCAAATGCTCCCCTCTTCTGAACCTCCCTCTTAGTGTTAGAGAGCACCAACATCCTCCCAGTTAAGCAGGGTCATAAACTCAATTCACATATGCAATCTGTGACCAAATTCTGTCACATCTTTTATATACATCTCTCCACTTATGCAGCCACCATACTATCCTGGTACAGACCCTTATACCTCAGGCCTGGATTTTGGCACTAGGCTTCTGGTTGGTCTCCCTGCCTCAAATCTCTCCCATTCACTGTTTGCCTGTCTGTGTCTCTCACTTCAATCCATTCTCCATTTGGCTGCCAAAGTGATTTTCCTGAAGCACAGTTTTGACCGGGTCACTCCTCTACTCAATAAATTCCGGTGGCTTCCTATTAGCTCCAGGTTCAAATGTAAAATGCTGTTTGGCATTCAAAGTCCTTCACAGTCTGGCTCTTTGCTATCTTTCTAGTTTTCTACTTTACTCCCCTCTATGTATGTATCTACCAACACATCTGCATTCTTGCTGCCCCTGGTACACATCCTTGCTATGGCTATATTTACTTCCTACCTTCCCCCTCCTCCGGTCTTTGTTCCCAGATTTCAATCCTCAGGACCGGTCTGCCTTCAAAAGTGACTAGTGGGTATTCTAACAAACTCACAATACTAAAATGCCATATGTAAGCTATAGTCTCAGGGCTCTCCTTTCAGCTTTTAAACCCCACGGACATTATAACCAAGGCCTTCTGAAGATAAATAACCATTTGTTCTTTTCTTTTTTTTTTGGCTAGGCAAAGGGTTAAGTGACTTGCCCAGGGTCATACAGCTAGTAAGTGTTATGTATCTGAGGTCGCATTTGAACTCAGGTCTTACCTGAATCCAGGGCAGGTGCTCTATCCACTGCACCTCCTAGCTGCCCCTCTACTTGTTCTTTTTGTAGGATGAAACATACTATAAATTACATTAAATAAAAAAATATAAAACAACACAGATCTTTCTGGCAGATTTTTCTGACATCAATTAATATGTAGATAGACTGCATTTCTGAGACATATACATGTGTGTATTTAAGACTAAGGGGCTCTTCTCCCTCTAAAAATGGTGATCCATGTATAACCTATATTGAATTGCTTGCCTTCTCAATGGGGGGGCGGGGTAGGGAGGGAGGAAGGGAGAGAATTTGGAAATCAAAGTTTTAAAAACAAATATTAATATATGTAACTGGGGAAAATAAAATACTAAAAATTTATTAATTAATTAAAAAAAAAAGAATGGTGATCTCTGACATAGAACAGGCACAGGGATGGGAGTCAGAAAACTTGAGTTATAGTTCAAATTGTAACAAACTCACTAAATGTGTGACCTTGGATGAGTTACTTCACTTTCTAGACCTCATTTACCTCATGTATAACATAAACAGGCCAATGATCCTCCCCGTACCACTCTATACTCCTCTCTCCTCAATCTCCCATCCTCTGCTCCGGTCTCACAGTAATTTGCCCAAAACTCTTTTCTACATGTGTCTCAGTGTCCCTTCTGTCAGAGAAGTCATTTGCATACCTGTCTGCTCCCCGCCTTTGGAAGCTGAAAACCAGAGTCTGTGTCACATCTATCTTTGTATCCTCAGTTCGTGGTACAGTACCTCGCCCACAGTAGGCGTTAAATAAGTATTTGTGGAATTGAACTGACCTCTCCAGATCCTTCCAGCTGTGACACTGGACTACTCTAAGTCCCACCACCCAGTGTAAAGAGCAAACGGGAGTCTGTTATTTATTAGAATACAGCACGGAAGGCCTGAGGAATACACATATTTTTTACCCTTAGACATCCCCTTGTTTTGAGTATTGAATCACTTTCCCTTGACAAACTTTTAAAATACAAAGATTACATACACAGTGTACATGCCTGAAAGGGTGAGAGAAAAGTCAAAGAAACTGAGATGGTTTTACTGGGGTTGGGGGCAGAAAACTAGAGACCACGGTTCTCTGGGAAGCAATGAGAGCATTTAAACGAAACATGTCCAAAACTGAACTTGTTGTCTTTCCCCCAAATCCTCTCCTCCTCTGCACTTCACTATTTCTGCCGAAGGTATCACTATCCTTCTCGTCTCCCGGGTTCCTAACCACAGCATTATCCTAGACTCCTCACTTTCCCTCTCCCTAAATAGCCAACCAAATCTCGTCCTTTCTATCTTCACACCAGGCTGTTTCCACTCACTTGGCTACCACCTTAGTTTTGGTGGTTCACCTCTTTCTTAGATTACTGCAAGAAAAATATCTGTCTCAAGACTCTTACCATTTTCCATCTTACACACTGCTTCTAAAATAACCATCCTCAAATCCATAACTGACACAATTCCCCATGTGAACAACATCAGTGACCTCCTGTTGCTTCTAGGGTAAAATATCAACTCCTCTGTTTGACTTTTAAAGTCCTTCACAGCTTGTCCTGCCTCACTGGACATTCTTCTCCCTCCTTGAGACCAGAACTATCTCATATGATGCTCCCTCTCCCAAGTCTCTAAACCTAGACGCCACCCCACGTGCCCAGAGGGCATTCCCCCCTTACCTCTACTTCAGTCCCTTTCTTCCTTTAAGCTGGTATCTTCTTCTGGAAGGATTTTTTAAATCACCACTCCTCCTCCCCACTGCCAACTGCTAGTACCCTCTCTCTCACCCAAATTACCTTCTCTTTAACTACTCTGTATTTGTATTTATTCACTTTATATTTATATAAAGACTGCTAGGCAGCACAGTGGAGAGAACACTGGACTTGGAGTCAGAAATCCCTAAGTTCAAACGCTGCCACAGCAGCAGCATCACTGCACAATCGCTGTCTACCTCAGTTTCCTCATCTGTAAAATGAGGATAACAACAGTAGAGTTGTGAGGATCAATTAAGATTTTATATATATATACATACACATATATATGTATGTGCCTTGCAAACCTTACAGCACTATATGAATGCTATCTATTATTTTTATTTATGCTGTATATATTAATATATGTATATACTGCCCCCCATTAGAAGATGAGCTCCTTGTGAGCAGAGATTCTTTCATTCTCAGTACCTGTTCTTCAGCTCCTAGCACAGTGCCTGGCACACAGTAGGTGCTGCATAATTGCTTGATGATTGAGTAAGAATATCCTGGGAGGACTCTGGGGCTTCCCAGCCATGCGACCTTGGGGAAGACCCTTCCTTGAGTCGGGGTGTCAGCTTCCTCTTCTGCAAAGTGGGGGCGGCACTGCCTGTCCCCTGCCCCTGCTCTCAGCGCTCTGCACAGATGTCAGCTGCTCCTCTGACTGGAGGGGGGGCGGGAGGCGTCCTCTGGCCAGACCACCCACCTGCTTCCCCAAGTTTCCAGCATGAGCCACCAGCCCCCTCCCCAGGCCCGCAGTCATCCACTCACCGCCCCCGGGCCGGCCCAGCCAGAGGATGGAACATTAGCCAGGGGCCTGAGCCGGGGGCCGGAGCCGAGAGAGTCCAGCCAGCCGCCACCCGGTTTGGGGCGAGCCCACACTGGACTTAGGGAAAGGGTCTGACGCAAAGCGCCCACCCCCGCTCTCTCGCCATTGGTTTAACGTCTCCGCGACTTAAGGCTTTCTTTCTCCGTTGGTCCAGGTGGTTGTCAGAGAGGCCTGCGGGGCGGGCCAACGACGCGGAGGATGCTAGGACTTGTGGTCCCGGGAGAGCTCCTGGGAGGACTCTGGCTCCCAGCATGCTCTGTAATCACACCTAGGCCAGTGCCCAGCCCCCGGGGAATGACACGTACTAGCCAGTCCCTGGGGAATCCCAGGAGGGGGGAGGGGGAGTGGGGTCTGCCTTCACTCAGAGTCCACGCATGCTCAGGCACCCTCCCTCCTCTACCTTTCGCCCCCTGCTCCCACCCCGAGGCCTTATTCCCCTTGAGCGCCTATTCCCATCCCCAAGCCCTCTCTCCGGAGCCCGAATCCACTCACCACCCCCGGGGCAGGGCAGGCCCGACCCGGGATGGAGAAGGAACGGAAATTCCCCCGTAGCACAGAAAGTCCTGGCCGCCCCGCCCGGCTCAGGCCAGGACACTCTGGACAGAAAGTAGGAGTTGTACGCAGGTTGCGGTGTCAGGAACGCCCGCCCTTGCCCTCTGGGCATTGGCCACCCGGTCTTCACGTCGAGAAACCTTCCCTTTCCACTGGTGGGGCCAGCTGTCAAACGGGCTAGGTGGCCGAGTGGCGCGGAGCACTCTGGGAAATGTAGTCCCAGGAGTCAATAGCCAAACATTTACTAAGTGCCAGGCACCGTGGTAAACCCTAGGGAAAGAAAGACAGTATCTGCCCTCAAGGAGCTTACAGTCTAATGGAGGAAGACAACGTACAGAGGTGGGGGAGGGAAAGGGGAGAGAAGATGATGTCCCAGAGTAGTGAAGCCAGGTGAGAAGTGAGGGAGGGAAAAGAACTCCGGATCAAAGGTTTAGAGGTTATCTAGTCTAATCCCCTCCCTTTTACAGTTGAGGAAATTGAGGCATACCGAGAGATAATGGCTTGTTCAGGATTACACAGATAGTGAAAGTATAGGAATTTTTGTCTAGGGATTTGGACTCCAAATCCAGGGCTCTTTGCACCTCACCTATCAGGGCAGGTTGCTTCCAGGAGCTGAAAGGGTCTGCCTCATTTAAGAAAATGTAGAATTTTTTCATGTTTCTCCTTAACTTTAAGAGCCTACAAGACCCTGCCTAACATTAATAATAGGTAGCATTGATATAGTGCTTTAAGGTTCACAAAGTTTGCAATATTAAGGTTTGCAATGCTATCTCATTTGATCCTCACTGCAATCCAGAAAGGCAGGTACTATCCCAGTTTGAGAGATGAGGAAACTGATGCAATCACAGGGTCAGAAAGTGCCTAAGGCCAGTTTTGAACTCAAGACTTCATGACCTAACTGTTGCCCCATCTACCTACCTTGCTTGTGCTCTGCGCTGTCACTGCATAGATAGGCTATTGTGGAATGGGAGCTGCTTGAGGGCAGGGAAATTTTCTTTTGTTTTCACAGTGAACACTATACATTTAATCAGCATTTGTTGAATTGAGTTTAATGTTTAATTAGTGTTGTTGAATTGAATTTGCTGAATTGACACAGACCCTACCTTCAGGAAAGTGACAATCTAATTCAATCTAAAGGGAAAGTTACCTAGAAAAATAACTATGATACAAGAGAGAAAGATAAGTAGAGGGGTGATCCTGGCAAAATGCTGTGTGCCAGATGACTGACTATGAGAAATTTGAGGAAGAGGACAAGGGGGTCACTTTAACTTGAGAGGATGGAGAAGAGGTAGCATTCAGGTTATTTCTTGAAGGAAGGAAGAGATTTGACGACAAGGAATGGAGGAGCGTGGGGTGGGGTCATGAGCGAAAGGATGGAGATGGGAGACTTTAGGATGAAAGTAGGTAAAGGAAAGTACTGATTTGGCTGTAATATAGACTAAGTAGAAGCAGAATAATATAAACTTGAGCTGGAAAGATAGTTTGGAGCTAACTTGTGGAAGACTTTAGATGTCAGTCAAGGATTTATATTCTGTTTGGAATGCAATAGCAAGCCACTGATGCCTTCTTAATGGAGAAGTGACACGATTATAGAGATGCATTGGGAAAATTCCTCTGGCCCTAGAGTGGGGCATGAATTGGAGAAGGGGAGATAGACTAGAAGCAAGAAAACTGATTAGAAGGCTATTTCAGTAGTCTAGAAGAGATAAGGGTTGGAACTAGGGTGCTTACATTGAGAATGAAGAAAGGAGGAAGGCTACCAGACATTATGGGGTTCCTTCTGGCTCTGAATCTATGATCCTGTGATCTTAACTTAGAAAGGATGAGGCTTCACAATTGATTGGATGTGAGGGTGAAAAGGGAGAAAGATCCAAAACCGGGAGTACAAATCTGAGATGCTGAGGGGATTGTGGTGTCATTAAAAGAAGTAGAAAAGTTAGGAAGAGGTAAGGTTTTGGGGGCAGGTGATGAGATTGGTCTTAGATACATTGAATTTAAGGGGATGGTAGGTGAGCCAAGTGGAGATCTCCAGTAGGCCATTAGAAATATGAGATCAGAGCTCCAGGGAGAGGTTGGGGGTGAAGACAGAGACACTGAGGGGGTTATCAGCTTTAAAATGATCATTGAAGCCTAGAAGGAGATGAGAAAAGGACCTAATAGAAAACCTCTTCTAGCTTCATTTCCCCTTACCCAGGTGCACCCAGGAACTCTCCTAGGTCCTTATTTGACTTCTTTGCCACTGAACTTCCCTCCTTCACGCCAGGAACTCCAGCACTAAGAGCATGTTGAAAAGTTTTCTATGTGTCCCCCTTGGCAGTGTAGGCTCAGTTGCCAGGGATATTTTGCCAGTGAAGTTCATAAAAGCTTTTTAAGGAAATTGAGTCCAGGAAACAAATTATGTTTCCTTTCCTGAGCCTCACAAAACATTCTGTACTTTTCCTAAGCTCTTAATGCATTGTCTTGAACTATAGTTACTTTATGCTTATGATACTCTTGTAAAATTACTAAAAATTTCTGTCTATGTCACAACTTCCTCCTTAGATTATAAGGTTCCTGAGAGTAGAAACTATGTTTTATTCACCTTTGTGTCTCTCCCAGTACCAAACAGCATTTCCCACATAGTAGACATTTAGTAAATAGTGGTTAAATGAATAGACACCTAAAGAGTGTTATCTGTTCAAAGATTTTCATAACAGTTGTAATTGCAAAAAACTGGAAATAACTGAAATATCTAACAACAGGAGAATGGTTGAATAAATTGTGATAAATTCATATAACAAAATACTATGTTACAATAAATCCAACAAATGTGAAAAGACCTTTAAAAAAACAAAAAATGAAAAAAAATCAGAATGAGGAGAAAGGAGCAGGTACATACTTACTATAGCCACATAAGAAGACAAGTGGTTAAGAATAAATGGACAGAAGAACCCTACTGGAGGTTTAGAGGAACTGGCTAAAAAAAAAAAATGCTGATACTTTATACATTGTAACTAATTTAAGTGGCAACTAGGCGGTCTGGGACCTAGAGTCAGGAAGACCTGAGTTTAAATTCAGCCTCAGACTAGCTGTGTGACCCTGGGCAAGCCACTTAACCCTGTTTGCCTTAGTCTCCTCATCTGCAAAATGAATTGGAGAAGGAAATGGCAAACCACTCTAGCGTCCTGGCCAAGAAAACCCCAAATGGGGTCACAAAGAATCAGATGTGACTGAACAAATTAATTAATATAGACATAGTATTTATTAATAATAATATAATAATAGCTAGCATTTATACAGTGCTTTACATTCATCTTATTTGATCCTCAAAATAACCCTATGAGGTGCTAAAATTATTCCTGTTTTACAGAAGAGGAAACTGAGGCTAAGAGAGGTTAAGTGACTTGCCCAGATCATGTATATAGTAAGTATCTGAGGCAGAATTAGAACTCAAGTCTTTTTGACTTCAAGTCTAGTGTCCTTACTATGCACCAGGCATCGTGCTGTGCCTGGGGAAACAAATACATGGAAACACTAAAGTTCCTGCCCTCCAGGAGCTTACATTGTAATTGTGAGAGATTACTCATGAGGAATGTTTGGAAGCAGAGGAGGGAGTGGGGAAAGGAAAGTGGATGGGACTCACCAGAGAGAGTACAATTGTATCAACACTTTATGAGCCACTCCCTCTGAGTCCTACATTTTGGTTTGCTTTTTTAGTGGAGTAAAATTAAGGCAGTTCTGTACTTCATATTAATTTGTAAGGGTGTGCCCCTTTCAGACCAGCATATTTTTAGTTTGCAGGTCATAAGAAGCAAGTTACACAGAGCGTGTACAGTTGTCTGTCTCACTCTCTTTGTAGAGCATGAGGCCTTCTTTTAGATGTGAGTGATCATTCTTTGCCAGCAGTTCTCAAACTTTTTGGATTCAGGACCTTTATCCTCTTAAAAATCATTGAGGCCCTCTCCTTTAATATAGATTATATCTATCAATATTTGCCTTATTACAAATTGAAATGTCTTAGTATTATTATGAAAATAGTTTTGATCTCTTAGACCCCCCTAAATCACTTTTCTACACCTTGTAAAAGATGCAAAACTTTTGAGTTGACTTATTCTTACTTCCTGAAGAGAAACTTAGAGTCAATCATTTGCATATAAAAAGGCCAGTAGAGATAGCGAATTTACCCCCAGAGCATAGATTGCTTAGGTACCTTTCTCCCACAGCTAGCACTTGCTTAGACCAACCGAGAAATATCCTGAGAGTTAAAAACAGCAACAACTAGGGAATCTAGAACCCCAGAAGTATTGGTGAATATTGGGCAAATGGTCATTGCCTAGTTACGACCAGCAGAGATGAGCAACTGAGAAATGTACTATATGGTCAGTGTAAGTTAGGGTGAGGTATCTCACAGCGGGAAGCCAGTTCTGAACCAGTAAGAGTTGTTGAAAAGACTAAAGCTCTACTTTCCCACCTGTTCTATGGGAAGTGATAAACATGAGACCTGAGGTATTAACTGGAGACAAATGCTAGTCTTGGGCCAAAATCTCTACTCTTTCTGAAAATGCATCATATACAACCCAGGTAAGGATCGCAGCTGACCCCTAAGTTGAAGGTAATGGAGACTATACCTGTGCATAGAGGAGCAAGTCCAGGGAGTCACTGGCTTAATCTCTGCAGCAGAGATGCTATGTCCTGTGAAGAGCAAGCCTCGCTGAGCAGCCCTTATATGCCTTGGCCACATGCATTGCCTAAACATGTGTTGTACTATCATTGTACTTTAAGGACGTGCTCACTCACCCCACAGATACACGTATTTGTGGGAGAGTACATCCCAAGTTTATGGGAGAATGTTTTATAATTATTGTTCAAGCTATGCCATTTGAGCAAATGCCTTCGTAAGAGCTAATTAATCTACGGGTTGATTATTAATAGTAAGTACACCAGTAGGGGCTTGTGGGCTGTATTTTTTGAGGAGTATTGCTATAGTATACACTCTGGAACTCTGAGAGAAGATATCCCTCTGGGGACCTAATCCACAAATGTAAGGACAAGTTGGTGGAGCATCCTAGAAAGGGTGCTACACATTGTTACCTTGAGTGCTTGTGTAAGAGCTGAGGATCG